ACGTCCTTTCCACATTATCCTTTTTTTTTACCTAAAAATAAAAGGTGGGAGCAGCTTTTGTTGTTTCCAGAGGATGCTGAAGAGCTCACTGATGGGGGACTCAGGGAATGAGAGGCTGGAGTGACCAACTGTGGCTGTGCTGCTCCACATTTGTGCTGAACCAACTTCTCTTCCCAAGAACGCAAATTTGGAGAGTGGGAGCACAAGGATGGACTTGGGAAAGCCTCACATTCGGGGAGAAAGGCAGAAAGTGCAAATAAAGAAGAGTTTTCTTATTCTAGACACATATTTAGATCCCTTTTGAATAAGGGATCAAACCTGGGATGTAACCAGGAGTAACTCCAGTCTTGGAGGAGTCTTCTGACAGACAGAGAACTGTGGTGGAGTGAATTTGTTTAAAATGAGATTAATTTGTTTAAAAATAGAGCCCTGGAGACATTTAAGATGTTTCCTTTAGTTAATGAGATTTCCATGATAGTTAAAACAATGAAATTAGCAAACAATGCCGTTAATCTCGGATTACAAGCAGCACCAGGGAAGAATTAGTAAAATAAATGAAGAAGATTTAAGGCACTTTGCTCTCCAATAAAGTAGCTGGGATGGGAGCTCCGTGCTGTGTTTTCCTGGAATTAAGGAAGAGATGATCAGGATCTGCCTTTCAGCCTCTAACCTGGAATATTTGAGCATGGAAATAACATTTTCTCAAGTGTAAGGTTTTATTTAACCCATACGCTGCTTACTTATATATGGCCTATAAGTAAATAACTGCACACAGCTTCACATTTAAAAATTCAAATTATTTTCAAGCAAAAGCCTCAAATTAAATCACAGCAACTTTATACACCCCACATTTGGCTGTTCTAACCAGCAGTATGAAAAGGGGATAAAAGACATCCCAAAACAGGATTACACAGAGCAGCAATAAAAGGAGAAATAATCTTTGAAGACATGATGGAAGAACAAATTCTAAGGGCATTAAGAAGGAACAAGTCATGGTTTCAATCACAGCCAGGCAGGAGATTGCTAATCTCATGTGTACAGCAGATAAAGCTGGGAGGACAACAAATTGCATTTTAATTTATGGACTGAAAAGGTTAATTTTTAATTCTCTCACTCCAGAAATCAGGGAAATACAGGCTGAAACTAATAAAGTAATGGAGTTCTCCAAGGTGGATCCTCAAAAAACACAGGGAAAACATTTCATTTTCAGCGTGTGCTTTTGGCAGGAATTTAAATGCAATCCATTGAATCTATTAGTTTATTATTTTAAAATAAATTTATTTTTTATTAGATTTTATTATTTAAAGCCAAAATTTTTATTGTGTCCCTTTAAGTCACCTGAAATCAAAGGAGTTTCGTGATGAACCCACAAATGTATAAAAGGAGAGGAGAGGCTGGTAAGGAGAAAAAGTTGTTAAAAATAATTTCAAAAGTTTTCTTAGCAATAGCTCAGCAGGGCCTGGTCACAAAACACAATTCTTATCTCCTGCAAAACTTCCAGGAAATCAAAATTCCAGGCACTGCCACTCAAACAACAAACGAGTCCACATTTAGAGCTGTTTTCAACACCAGTTGTGCAATTAGATGTAATTATTTATCCTCGTTGCAAAGCAGAGCATTGAACGCTGCTCATCTCAAAAGAATTAACAAATGTGTCCCTGTCCTTTCTCCTGATGGTGTCAGCTCTCCAGTAAAATTATTGACTTGGAGCACAGACAGCCCTTAAATGCAAAATAATCACAATTCTCCAGGAATTTTGCTGGATAATCAGGGAGTTTTGAGTTCTGAGCTTGCTACAAACCACTTGGGTTTCCAGCAGAGGCTTCCCTGTGACCTGGGAAGATCTGTTGGAAGTCTCACCGTGGATTACACAATGACAGAATCTTGGAGTTTTTTAAGGCTGGAGAAGCCATCCCCAAGCCCCTGGGCTGTAGCAGCCTGAGCTACAACGTTGGCAACAGCCCCAGAGTTCTGAAGGTGAATAAATGATAAACACTAATTATGTGCAGCTTATCAAACAGTATTACCAGAAGGTTTTTGCAGAAAATATATCAGCTGCTTCTTCTTTTTTTTTTTTTTTTTAAATAATGTTAAACTGCCAAAATACTGAATCCAGGAACTTTCAGAGCTCAAGAGAGAGCCCAGAGTGGAGAAGATAACCAAAGTGAGTTCCAGGGTAAGATTTCCAACAGTCACTGAGCTACTGTAGCAAATTTGTTCCATGAAATTAAACAATGTACTGGCAATTTAAAAATCTGAGATGAGTTTAAGAACTGGAGGCAACCCCAAGTATTTATTGGAGTGCAGAGAAGTTGAATGTCTGGCTGGGAAACTCTCCTGGCTCAATGGTCAGGCCAGGCTTCTATTTTTAGCCCAGTAATTAAATTTCAGAGCCTGATGTTTTGTGGAGGGATAGAAAGGATTGCAAAGGTGCAGGAGAAGTTTGTGTACAGCATCTTGGCTCTTGCTGAATAAACTCTGGTTTATCCAGTCACAGCTTAGCCATGTTTAATGAAAAGGAAAACATGTGGAAAAGCTGAACACAATTCCCTCACAATAGGGTGATGTCAAAGCAAAAAAAAAAAAAAGGAAAAAAATCTCGGTGAAGGGTTTTTTCTGAGCTAAACACAAAGAAGAGTTGTTTGGGTTTGGAGGGAGCAGGGGAGGAAGGACTCAGGGGAGAAAATAAGAGGAAAGGATGAAATTTTCCAGAAAAACTTGCACTAGATTCAGGCTCTTAGAGACTTTAGGATGGTGCTGCTCCAAGCCCAAGGGCTGGACTCATTTAGGACTTGAAAACATGTAGGACTGCAGCCCTGTGTACAAGGGAAACATTAAATAGCCAAGCACAGAACATAAAACTCTACTAAAATCCAAACCTGGATTTAGCATCTGTGACAAGCTCCAGAATATCTCAAGGAATCCCAATCATCTCGTGCTGCAGAATGGGAAGGAACATTGAGTGGAAAAGGAAACTCTGTCCAATCTATAATTCAAATGTGCAGTGATGAAACTCAGAGTGAACAGGAGGGCAGCTCATGCTCTACAGACAATTGGACACTCCCATTAATTATGGGAATAACCAGCTTTTTGTGCAACTAAACCCCCAAAGCTTTGGGCTGAGGGTGGTGTTGTCCTGTTAAACCAGGCTGAAGGATTCCAGGGAATCCTCCTCCTGAGCTGAGCCCATTTGTTTCCAGCATGAGTCTGTGGCAGATGGAAGCACAGGGATAGTGCAGCAGACACAGAGTGAGTGAACTCTTAATCCTGCCTTGGACCTTGAGAAATGAGGGTTTATTTTCCACCTAATGAAACTCTGGACACAATCAGGAATAAAGTCAACCAGAATTAGGCAATTCCTCCTCAAAACAGACTGTTACACAAATAGCAATGATGAAGCACCTCCCTCTTAGAAATTAGGACTTTGGGGCTGATTTCCTCTTTTCCAAGAGCCAGGTGAGCCCATCCTTTGATTTCCGGACTGAAGTGATGGATAAATTTGTCAGATTTTTATTTTGTTGCTTGGCAAGAGGCAGCAGTGAAGCTCTTTGGAAAAGCAGAGCCTTCCTTACCTTCAGGGCTCTCCAAGCAGGAGGTCTGCTTTTGTTTTCTCTTGATTACAAATACTTCATCCATTCCCAACCAACACTTTATACTTGACCAGATTCCTGTAAGCTCCTCAACCTGATCTGGAAGCATCTGTTTCCAATACAATTTGAACTGGAGGACTATTAACAAGATTGGATTCAGACCCCAATCAAGCCAGAACCCGGGGATTGATGTCATGTGCAGGCTGGCACTGCAATCCCGGGGCAGGGAATGGAGGGGGGGAGCTTTGGGGGCAATAAAATGTTGATTTTCGGAGTCTATCATAGAAAAGCATCTGCAAATCTGCACAGAATGTACTGTGAGGATCGTCAAAATCAAGTTCTGGGGGGGTTTGGGTAAATAAATGCTGCCTGGTTTATGTTTCCAGCTGGGGGCTGGAGCAGGAGAAAGTCAGGACTTTGTTCATGGAATAACGCCCTGGATCCCACAGAATGCTCACAGAATGCTCTGTCCCATAAAAGATAAAAGCAGGATTTGTTTCAGGTCCCACAGTTCAGTGTCCCCATCTCAGTGGGGGATTGTGTTCCATGGTGCAGAAGGTTTTATCCAGCCCACAATCCAGGGTTTGGGAATGATGCTGGAATTTTGGGTCCATCCTGAGGCCAGGACTGCCTGGTCACTCCTCTGATTGCAGGGCCTTCTGAAATTCCTGTAATCAGAAAGACAACACCGACTGGAATCAGAACTCCTGGGAATCAGAACTCCTGGGAATCAGAACTCCTGGAGGAGTTCCAGGTAAATCTGGGAAGAACTTGCTTTTAATCTGGAATGGATTAACACGAAGTGCCTGGAATCCTTCCTTCTTCCATCCTGGTTTATGGCTCCACTTCATGGAGTTAAGCACCGAGATGTTTTCACACACAAACCTACAATTCTTCCTAGAGAAAAAAAAAAAAAACCAGAAAATCTTCTTTTTATACTCTTTTAAGTGCAAATCCAAGCTCTGGTAACAAGACAGGTGCCTGTGGAGCACAGTCCCAACCCATCCCAGTTCACCAGGTGTTTAAAGCCAAGGTACAAAAGTTTCTCCAAAGGTTTTGCTTTTCATTTCTTGGGCACAAAATGCCAATGTTCCACCTGGAAAGAGCATGACCAACAATGACTACTACACTGAGTATGAATATATTAAATATAAAACCACCCCAGCACCATGTGCAACCCCTCCCAATTTTTAGTGTCTACTTATTGTCTCCAAGTTGCAAATTAACCTGTTCAAAGTAGTTTTAATATTGGTATTTTCTATAAACTTGCTATTCTTGTTAGAATTATCATTATAGAAAGGGTACAAATTATTGTTCAGCCAGAAGATTTTATTATCAGAAAAAAAAAGTGATTTTAAAAAAAGTGCACTTCATTTCTGATTTATTTATTAACAAGCCTACTCTGAATCTTTAGCTGTAACAGGAAAATGATACAAAAATGTCAAGGAACAAAACTCCAAAGCTCCCAAGGAGCCAGGGAAGGTGGAGAACAAAGCAGAGGACCTGGGAGAATTTGGGGTTTGGCATCTTTACAGCAAGGCTCAGTCCACAGGTGCAGTTTCCCATCATGGCCAAGGCAAAGAGCAGGTAAAAGGTGCCCTCTGTGCATCTCCTCTGGAACTAAACACCAATTGGATACACAAATTATTACAATAACAGTTTTATAAACACAAAGAAACATTAAAAGGTACTCAGAGTCGACAGTTAGAGATAATTTGGGCATTTTGTTGTATAACCCATTCGAAGACTTTCAGTCATTCTTGTCCTGTTTTCCTGGGGCTCTGAATTTTCTGAGTTTCAGCACAAATCACTGAAAATTCAGGAACTGTTACAGTGCTGAGATCTCTGGCTAATGCCATTTTTGTGGCAGGATAATCTGCTCCCACATGGTAAGATCTTTTGGAAAATTCTGTGGCATTCCAGGTAGACAAGGAATATAAATAGGCTTAGAAGTTAATTAATCACTTCCATAATCAATTAAAATGTCTGCACATAATTGACAAATCAAAATCTTCTGGTCTTTTGATGTGTTTGTTGGGATTTTAAAAATATACTGATAGTGAAGAGGCTGTGGTGAATGGCACCTTAGTGAAAAGGGGCAAAGATTTAAAACTAATTTTCCTCTAATTCTAACTTTTATTCCCAGGATGGAATAGTTTGGAGAAAGAAAAAGGAGGATTCTGCTTGCTCATGACAACAATCATTTAAATCAGATTTCTGCTGATAAATCCAGCTATAAATATTCCCTTCCTCTTCCTCTGCCAATCAATCGTTTTCCAGCCATCCAGGACCAGCATTTTCCTAAAATTCTCCTTGTCTGAATGGGAAAAAAACTCCCATTTTTTTCAGTCACCAAAGTGAAGTGGGGGTTTGAGTTGAGGAAAGCTCAGTGTGAGGGACAATCCAACAGTGGGAGAAACAGAAAATCAAAGAAACAAATGCCAAAAAGCCACTAAGGTTTTTATGAAGCTGAGGGAATCTGGTGCCCAGGAACACCCAGCACACAAATGAAACCTGGCATTTCAATCACATCAGGAGAGCTCTGGGAAAGAAAAGCACATGGATTTTGGCAAGAAGGCTCTGAGGCATTGCAGGAGATTAAACTGAGAGTCCAGGGTTGTGGGGTTGTGGACAGAACTCCTTTCAGGCAGTGCAGTGCTGCTCTTCAAATGGCCAGAGAGGGTGAGGAAGGGTTTAAACTTCATCTCACAACAATGCACATCAAAACTGGTGCCAGACTTTGGGATGTGACACTGATAGAAATCCAGTCCTCCTGCTAAAAAAAGCCTGGGCACAATTACTCCAACCAAAACTGAAAAACTGTAGCTCGAGTCACAAGAAAAAAAAAAATTTAAAAAAAGAATAATCCAGTCTGGAGAAAGCAAAATACTCATTTTTCACAGTTGAAGAGTTGCTGGTTTTCTCACTCTGGCTGTGTTTTGAAAATGAGCTGCCTCCCTGCTGGGCCGTGCTGCTGGATTACAATTATTTCCCTGGCATTAGCAGGAAGGCCATCAAACTGCTGCAATGGGCTGTGAACTTTCCTGCTGCACTGCCAGCAGCAGGTACAATGGTGATTTTCCACTTTTATTGATTTTTTTGTGGTCTCCACGTGGATGTTTACAGCATTTCCCACAGGCAGAGACACAACATTTATGTTCTGTTAGTTCAGAGCAGAGCATCCTCAGGGCCCAAAGGACACGAGAAGCCTGGGAAGCTGCTGAAAGAAGTAATTTTATAACATCTTTATTTTGGGATGGGTGGGAAAAGCATCCACATACACGATTGCTAAATCCTTGTTAAAAAATACTCAGGGTTTTTGGAAAGTACACAAACTTTTCAAGACGCTTCTGGGTGGGATTTTTTTTTTTTTTAATTTTTATTTTTAATGGGAAAAAAGGTAAGAATTGCCATTATTCCTTGGGATTGCTGGACTGTGCTACTGATTCCTGAGGAGCAGCTGACAGAGGGCAGTGACACTCAGAGCTCCACACCCCACAATCCAGACTGTGCCCAAATTCCTCAGGCTGGGACTGCCTGGAACGACACACAAACAAATTAGCTGGAAAATAACATCTGCTGTTGATTTGAGGTCACTTTTGTTTGCAGTACAAATATGCAAATGTAAAGGTAGAATTTCATGTCTCTTTTTCTTGGCAACAGTGGAAGTTCCACCTCTTTTTTCTGGGCTCTGTGCCCACCCCTGCTCACTGTTGTAGTGCTGAGGGTGGCAGTGGAGGAACTCCTTGGTGGACATTGCTCCTGATAGGAAATGTTCTTCTCACCTTCTCTTTTATATCATAATAATGTATGATATCTAATTTAGGATTAAATAACAGCTAATGAACAAAACTGGTGAATAGAAGGTAACTTTCTTTCCACACATCTTGATAAGAAACTGCAAAAGCAAGGATATTTGGAATGTGAATTACTAAAATCTCACTAAGATATTGATAAATGTATCATTTTGGACCAGGTAGTGGCAGTTCCATGCTCCAAAGCCTGGGTTTGTTTCCAGAGGAGCAGCAGGAAGGAAATCCCTCAGCACTGCCCTATCTCCAGGTTTATTATCAGTTCCATATTGAATCTGCTTTATTCCCATCTAGTCTGTGGGGAAGCATCTGGTTTACTTCAGCTTTTTGTTACCTCTGCTGTACCGTGGATTTTCTTTCCTATTTTTTTTTGTTTAATTGATGAGTTAATGGTTTTGATTTGATACAATATGAAGAGAGCAGTCTTCCATTTCAGACAAAACAGTAGTCCTTGGGCAGGCTGAACATTCCAGCCACTGCCAGGATTTGCTCAAGCACTACTCCAGTAATTTCATTCCCTGGAATATGGTTTTTTTAAATGCATGTATTGAAACAGAACACATGAAGATGTCAACATATTTTATGCTATAAGCAAATAAAGCCCACTTTCAATCAACAGGGAGGAAACCAACTGAACCCCACAAAGAAATGAGGCTTGGTTTCAACTCCCACATACTTCCACAAAAACCATGGAACCAGATTCCAAAACTCTATTGCATTTTAATGTCTGTATCAACTGAAAGTACTCCATGGAAAATATTCACAGATGTGTGTGGGACAGAAATGAGAAGGAAGGGAAAACTGGAGGCAACAGGTCTCAGAACTCCAGAATTTGTACACACTATTTTTGGATCCCTCTGAAAAAAAATGTATTTGGATGCTGTAGGAAAATCTCTCAGTAAAGACTGTGCTACATCATGGAGAACATTTTATTGTTGTAAAAACTTACCTTTTGCCACCTTCTGATTCTTGAGCTTACAGTAAACAAATGATACTCAGGTCCTTGTTCACATAAAAAGCAGCAGTGACAATCTGAAAGAAATGAAACATTTGCTTGTTCAGTAGGCAAATAATTTGAAATACCTCAACTGCACCAAAATGTTGCTTCATAATCATAATGTGAATGACAAACACTGGCAGAAATGAACATCAGTGTAAATATTTGGGCAATGATGACTTGGTTTATGGATGGCAGAAATAAGAGAACCGTCTGTTAAACACAGGAGGGCTCAGAATGAACACAGAGTTCACAACTCCTCTTAAGCCCCTAAATTGGAGAGCTGTGATTCAGAGTGACAGTGAGGACTAGGGAGCAATCCCAAAGCTGACCCCCTGGACATGCTTTGCTGAGTTCTGTGCTCACAAACATGACAGTTTGAATGTAAAGCCCTTCTCCAATTAATATTTCAGCTCACATTTCTGCAGCTCAACAGCTGAGCAAGTGTGGTTTTATTTCACTTGATTTCCACAGCCCTTTTACCAGACCAGTAAATTATATTCCCCTTATGGGGACAGACTTTGGAGTCAATCCCATTTTTTTCCAGGCATTTTTAGCTGCTGAGATCATTCCCCCTTTTCCTTTGTCATCTCCTACTTTCAGGTCTGAAACCTGAAGGCAGTGACCGAGTGATTCAGCACTGTGCAAGTGCCAGCTGCAGTGCTGTTCCCGACCTTTCCCCAGCCCAAACTGAATTGGCACGGCAGGATTGGTGGGAAAACATGGGTTTAAATAAACCTTGAGCCAGCCTGAGCTGCAAGTGCACACACAACTCAGGGTGGAGAAGATAAGAGAGGAGAGGTGATTTATTCTCATTTGCTCTAAGTGGCAGAGATTAGTGTCAAGTCACTACAACAGCACAGTACATCAAGCTCATTTGTCAACCACCAAATATTTTTGCAAACATGAACAACATGCTTCTCTGGCATATTATTCTATCTGTATTATGCAGATAGAGGAACATATCCAAGATAAAATTAAAAAAAAAAAAAAGAAAAAGAAAAAGGCAGCTTTTGCAAAAGGCTTCGGGCAAGATTACTCATGTTTGAATCTGAGAACTGCTTAAGACTTTCAACTTCGGGGAGTGCAGCAGGCAGCGAGCAGACAATGGCAGTGAGCCCTGTGACAAGGCTCCAGCACTCCCACACATCCCTGGCACATCCTCGCAGGAGCTGCCAAATCCAGGGCTCTCCATTCCTGCACAAGCTCCTGCTCTCTGCTGGGGAGATGCTGAGAGCAGCTCAGAGCCATCACTCCTGCACGGACATCCAATCCTCGGGGCTGATTGCTGCCTCCCTTCCCAGCCCGTGCAAATCCCCAAATCCGGTTAGGGATGCTGAACATCCTCTGTGCAAAGCCCTGCACATGCAGAGGGATGGAGCAGCTCCCAGTGAGCCCCAGTCTCCCCCAGGAACCTGCCAGATTCCAGGGAATAAACGCAGCCACTGGGAGCCAGGCATTACCCACACGATGATTCCAGACACGAGCTGCACTTCCAGGAAAGAAAAAGACCTTGTGGATTCAATATGTAACGCTCCGAATTTATCACTGCAACGTTTTAGTCTGAGCTCGTGGGGGGTGAGGTGGTCACTGACACGGAGGGGCCAGAAATCTGCTACAGGATAAGCTAAATGAGGGAATTTATTGCAATTTATGAACTCTGATTTTTCATGTTTGATGCGGTGCTAATAAAGTCACAGCACTTTCCTTAGAGGTACTTACCCAGATTCTGAACATGCTAGTCGCTCTTAAAAATATATATTTATATGAAATATTTGTCTATTTGTTGGTTCCATGCAATTAATTTAGAGAGAATGCTACGAACAAGAAGTGAGTTATGACTTAGATTCCAGGTGAGCTTTAAAGTCACTAAAATCCATGCAGCCTAATCAGTGACTCAACACAGTGTCAAACACTTTGGGTTATTTAACACTGCACAGGAAACATGGGAAGTATAAAAAACTGGCAGAAGGCAAATGTAGGGTGACCCTGACCCCAAAATTCCATAAATGATGCCACCATTATGCACCAAACTCTTCAAATCTTGAAAAAGTTTCAAAATTTGTTTTCACAGAGTATCATTCTCTGTAAAGTTAGGAGTTGCTTTGCTTGTTGGCCAGAAACTCCTTTTTCTTGCCATGAGACTTCAGGTTTTTTGTGGCTTTAAATGCTGGAACAAGTTTCCTGCAGGAATTGGCTGCCTCTTCAGAGAACTGTCATCATTGAACCTAAACCAATTTTATTTTAAACAATAAAAATACAACATACATTTATAGACTAGAAATCACCTGAGCCTGGAGGATAGTATTCAGTTTATTCTGCTTATACTGGGGAAGTTATTAGACCTTGTAGCCATCTTTGAAAATAACTTTTAAAGTTTAAAAAAATGTTGCAAGTAGTATTTCAAGTATTTTTATCCCATTCTGGCACTGTGCAGCTGAGCAGACTCACTAAAACAGGACATGGTATTTAAATTTGATTTTTTGGGGGGTTGTTATTATTGAGACTATAATTTTAATATTACAAAAATTGCTACTTTTCTTAAATCCCTGGCAAAATGTCCTTTCCCAGGAAAAGCAAACCCAGGAATTCCACATAAAAAGATGATAAGGAGACTGCCAAAACATTTCTTTGCTTCCTGTAGTATTAAAATTGTCAGTGATGAGGAAAGCATAGAATGGTTTGTGCTGGACCTTAAAGATCATCCAGTTCCAACCCCCAAATTATAAAATTCTATTAAAAAATGGTTTATGTTCCTATAACAACTCTTTGCCTGTAACCTCATATTCTTTCTTAGATTGCTGCTCAAATACTGGTTACTTGCACATGGAAAATTTCCAATGAAGGTGTGACCTTGGACCTTTGGCATCATCCCCTTCTCCCAAGGTTAGAGCTTGTCCAGCTACAAACCACACTGTCGTGGTCCAAGGAATTTAGGAATAGGGAATCAACATCATGAGCCTCTTGTTTGGACACTTTATCCAATTTTCATATTTTACTCTGGAGGGAGTAAACAGAAACAGGCACTGCTTTAGAAGTGAAATCCACGTGCTTAGGAAGAGCAGACAAGGAAATGCAGTTTATTTTTTTCCCTGGGATTTGGGAGATTTACCACAGCTCCTGTGCCTCTCCAGCTGCTGTGAGCATCCCTGTGCTCTGGATGTCAAATAACCAGGGCTGCAAGTGATGTATGAGGATGTCAGAGGTGTGTTTGGCTGGTGTGCAAGGTCTTTAAACTGCACTTAAGAACAGCTCAAAGCCCAAAAAGGGTTCAGTTTTACCGTGTTCATAATTTAATTCCTGCTGGGGGAGGAAAAGGTGGAGCTGGGCTGTGGAGTAACCTGGGCTTCTGCAAGCGTGTCCCAGTGTAAATCTGGTCACTGGATTTTGGCTTAAACTGTTCTCTGAAAGCGTTTTAAATGCTTTAAATGCTTTAAATGCTTTCTCCTGGTTGGGAATTCTGCTTGGCCAGATCTCACCTGGAAAGCAAGGCCAGTTCCCAGAGAACAATCCCAGTTTATCTTAACCTGGAATAGTGGAAGGCGTGCCCGGATGAGCTTTACGATCCCTTCCAGCCCAAACCAATCCGGGTTATTTGATTCTGTCATCTAGGAATTGATGGTTTTATTAACAATAATAAACCGAACAACAGAGCAGAAGGAAGCGCCTGTCTGGAGAGCCCAGCATCCCATCCCGGGAACTGAGATCCCGGGGGCTGCCATTCCCCTTTTCCCTCGGGGGATCCACGGGGAGAGGCAGGACACGGGAATAACAACGGGGAACGGCCCCGGGAGCGGCCCCGGGCACCGGGAGCGGCCCCGGGCACCGGGAGCGGGACACACGGACTGGGGCACCGCGGGCGGGCACGGAGGGATCTGCTGGGCTGCGGCAGCCGGCGGGCTGGCCTCGAGGGACACCCTGCGGGTGGAGAGGGAGGAATGGAGCACCGGGATAACCGGGATAACTGGGATAGCCGGGATAACCGAGATAGCCGGGATAACGGGGATAGCCGGGATAACCGGGATGAGCGGAGCTGCCCCATCCCCACAGCCCCGGCCCGGCCCTGCCGTTCCCGCCCGCCGCCGTCCCCTCAGAGCGCGGGCACGGGGCGCCCCCTGGCGGCGGGCGGGCGGCGCTGCGGGCTCAGCCCGCCCTGAGGGCCGGGAGCCAACGGGGCCGGGTGGCCACGGGCCCTTCATGGCCCGGGCACCCCCCGAGGTGATGGACGCCAGGATTTCATCCCTCAACCCCCGCCTGGGCAAGGCTGGAAGGGCTCACAACGTCCGTCTGCTCCCAAATGTGCCCTGCAGAGCTGGGCAGAGGGGCGGGATCACCCCCTGACCTGCGGGAAACGCCATGAGACCTTCCCGGAGCGGCACCAGCACCCTCCTGCTCGCTTAAATACATTTAATCTGATCAATACAGAGCGCAGTAGATATAATTCTAAATTACAATATTAGGATCTTTTTTTTAGGGGTCTTTGTCATTTTAGAAATAGAATGGTTTCAGTTAGAAGGATCTTAAAGCTCATCCTGCCATGGCAGGGACACCTCCCACTGTCCCAGGCAGCTCCAACCTGGCCTTGGGCACTGCCAGGGATCCAGGGACAGCCACAGCTTCTCTTGTCTTTATTTTCCTGTTTAAAATTCCCTGCTGCAGATATTTAGGATCTTGAGAAGAGTTTCCTAAGCTGCAAGAATTTGAACTTTTAACAAGCTTGAAAGTTCTGAATACTAATTTAGTTGCTAGGTAGGTTTGATTTCATATGAAATTTGAATTTTTATCAGTTTGAAATAGTTGTTTTGAATAGTGGGAATTGACACTTTGGATAAATGAATTTTACTTCTATTTATATATAAATCTGTATTTGGAGAGCAAAGGTGTGTTCTTGAATCACGTTTTCTCTTTCTGACAAATGTGGATGGAGGTGCTACAAAGGGTTTTGAGGGTGTTTTGTGGAGCATTTCCTGAAGCCCCAGTAAGGAGAGGAATTTTCATTCCCAGTGAGTGTTCAGCAGTCTGGGAAGTCAGTTCTGTTCCCTGTGTCAAAGGAAAAGAAACTGGAATTCCACTTGGCAAGAGGCTCGACAGTGAGTGCTCAAACCCCTCCTGTTCATGTGTGAGATTGCAGAATCCCAGACTGGTTTGGCTTGGAGGGAACCTTAAATCCCATCCTGTTCCCATGGCAGGGACAGCTCCCACTGCCCCAGGGGCTCCAAACCCCAATGTCCAGCCTGGCCTTGGGCACTGCCAGGGATCCAGGGACAGCCACAGCAAATCTGGGAATTCCAGCCCAGCCCCTCCCCACCCTCCCAGGGAAGGATTTTTCCCTAATATCCCATCTAACCCTGCCCTCCTGCTCAAGGCCATTCCCCCTTGTCCTATCACTCCAGGCCCCTCCAGCCTCTTTGCAACCCCCTTTAGGTCCTGGAAATCCGGACATGAATATTTCAGAATATTTTGATAGGGAAGAGTGTTGTATAATTTACTGAATTTTTAATACAGTTTTACTTTTTATTCTCATACAGGCTCATCATGTCAGTGGTTGCTGCAGCCTAGCTAATTAACAGAGGGCTGGGGGAATGATTAAAGGCAGGCTCTGGGTATCTGCATTGTTCTAGTTTAATTGCTGCTCAGGCAATGATTCACTGTTGGTTTTGGCAGTTGAGCTGCTTTTGTCTGGCACGGTGAAATTCCCTGTTTTGTCCATGCCACTCCTCTGTTGGGGATGGGCAAGAGCAGGAGGATTTGTAACAATTCTAGAGCCAGGCTCGTGGAAGGAATAAGAAGGAAGACCAGGCTGGAGTGGAAGGTGTCCCCTCCATCCCAAGCACTCCGGGATCCTGTGGTTGCAGGAGGGGAGCTCCTGGATGGACCCTTCATGCAAGGACATTGCCCTGCCAGCCTGAATCCATCCCTGTTTCCTTTGGATCTGTGCTGTAGCCTTGTCACAGGTCCTCTTTCTCACCTTGTCTCTTTTGTTCCTGAATATTTAAAAATTCGTGTCAATCATAGGAAGAAAGGAGCTCTAAAGCAATTTGTATGTGGGAAAACGGCATAAAGATACCTCTAAAATCCTTCCAGAGACTAAAAGAAGTTTTCAGAAAGAGAGACTGAGATTCCTGGGTTTATCCAGGCCTTTTGCTGTCCCTGTTCCTGAATAAACACATCTTTGATGTCACAAGCTGCATTTCATGACACTCCCTTAAAAAAGAAGTGACTAAAGAGAGGATAATGTGGGAGACAGCCGATTACTCCATAAATGTAAACGACATTAAAAGTGGTGTGTAACATTATATATTTATGGCTACAATTTTGTTCTGCTGTCACATAACCAAATGAATAATGCATCAGTCCAAGAACTTGTCATTAAGTGAATTTCTTTGTTGCCTTGCTGTGAAAATATAAAAATCCTTGGTGTGTGTATATGTGTGACATTAACCCCTTCTGGGAGCAAAATATAGGGTGGGTGAAGGCACTGTTAGATTTTATCATTTTATCATTTTACAGGTGAAATAATGTTAGGGATTTGAAGACATTCAGGAGGGGTTTTTTTCTGTGGCTGAGAGGTAATAAATGCACTTCACTTCTCAAAAACAAACTTCTCAGTACAAGAAGGACAGGGATGCACTGAATCCAGGGGAGAGCCATGAAAATGGTTCAAAATCCAGCTGGAGGTGGCCATGGGGCTGGACTTGATGGTCACTGGAGTCACCTTCCGACCCCACTCTAAGAGATGGGACATGGAATCATTAAAAAGGTGAGACTGTTACTCAGATGGTTAAAGTTAAGCTGAAAAATCTGCTGAGCTGAGACCTGGAACCTCCTGAAAACATCTCTGAAAGTTCATGGTCTCCACCCCCAGCTCCTGTGAGTTTCAATCTCTTTTCCATGTTGTCTTCCTTTAATCCTTGTCCCCCCGAGGAGAGAGGGGAGCAGCTATTTACAGCCTGACAGAGGAGACCAAAGGGCCAATGGAACTTCTGATTAGGAGAAAATTGCCTTTATGGTTGAAGTCAGTTAAACTGGATATGGAATTTCAGGCCCCAGCTGAAATCCTCGTCCTCCTGTGAGTCCTGCTGAGGGAAAAAAAAGGAAACCCTAATTCAGTTAGATGAGGGTGAAAAACTGTTTTGGTGTTGTGCCTTCCAGGCTCATCCAATGGAGATGCACGTGATGAGTTTGCACCTCTCAAAAGTAAGATTAAACTTATCTGAAATACCATTTATCTCAGAATGCATTAATCGGATTTTTTTTTTCTATTTTCTCCTATTTCTCCCTAACGTAATTGACAGCAAAATTGAATCGGTTTCCTACCGAGTTGGACTTGAAAGGTGAACACTGAATTTTCTATTA